AGACATCAGCCTTAAACTTTGTTTTTGTCATTTACATCAGTTATATTTGCATAAAATACACTATATATTTTTTGTGTCAGTACATTAATGGCACATTTAAGCAGCATTAGTAAACTGTGTAAATATAAAGAAATGCCAAATCACATGCAGGTTTTTTCAGACCGGAGACCATAATTGTTTAATAATTTATTTTATTATGATATGAAACGTCCAATTTTTCTTTCAATAATGTTTTTTAAAGTTTTGCAAGAATTTCGTGATAAACTTTATTAGTTGTCATAGAAAGTGATTATAAAAGTAGGATGGCTCACTTTTTATAAGATGACTGAATTTTACATGAATTTGTAGTTTATTCTTACTTTTGGAAACCTAATTGTTTTATAATTACTACTACTACTATTATTATTATTGTTGTTATTATTATTATTATTATTATTATTTCTGTTATTTTGATAATAGTCAATAGAAAAAAATATAACCACACACACATTGTTTGTCCACAGAATAATTACACATTGTTAAATAAAAAGCGTCCCCGCACGATCCTCTATCTCCGCCAGCAGGACCTCAATTTCAGACTCGTAAAGTTTGTTTTTTTCTTTGTGCTAGTCATTCTCAAGCATAGAAATTCGGATATTGGCGTGTGCTCTTTTATATGGTAATGATATTAATTAGGGGGCGTTTACAAGGTGGAGATCTGACACCAGTCAGCTGCGCACAATTTCAAGATAATTTGCGATTTATAAATGTCACATCTGGAAGAGTTTTTTAAAGTTTTGCAAGAATTTCGTGATAAACTTTATTAGTTGTCATAGAAAGTGATTATAAAAGTAGGATGGCTCACTTTTTATAAGATGACTGAATTTTACATGAATTTGTAGTTTATTCTTACTTTTGGAAACCTAATTGTTTTATAACTACTACTACTACTACTACTACTATTATTATTATTTCTGTTGTTTCTAGAAGTACTAATTTTGATAATAGTCAACAGAAAAAATATAACCACACACATTGTTTGTCCACAGAATAATTACACATTGTTAAATAAAAAGCGTCCCCGCACGATCCTCTATCTCCGCCAGCAGGACCTCAATTTCAGACTCGTAAAGTTTGTTTTTTTCTTTGTGCTAGTCATTCTCAAGCATAGAAATTCGGATATTGGCGTGTGCTCTTTTATATGGTAATGATATTAATTAGGGGGCGTTTACAAGGCGGAGATCTGACACCAGTCAGCTGCGCACAATTTCAAGATCATTTGCGATTTATAAATGTCACATCTGGAAGAGAGGCGTACGCACGTGTTTTTGTGCGCACGTTCGTTTTCTCTGAATCGCACTTACGCACTTTTGAGAAATTATCTTAGAACAAATTTAGGACGGTTTATACGCAACATTTTATAAATGAGGCCCCAGATGCGTTGTCAGGTTTGAACTTAAATTGCGGTCTTTGCTCACACAAAGCTGTTGTATTACTTGATATGCCTTGGAATATAGTGCTCGTCTTAGTTTGCGATTGTGTCCATGACCTTCTAGTTTGCAAACCCCTTTTTTGTGCTCCATAGAAGCAAGCAAGCTGTATTTTTAACATTTTAAGCACAAATTGAAAAGGAACAGGAGGACAAACAATAAAGATGGCAAAACAAAATGGGAGCCTATCAGAGACATTGAAGGGTAGGGGTGCCAGTCACGTAGCAAACTCTGAGCTCACCTCCGGAGACAAGCTAAATCCGTCCTGACAAAGAAGGGTCATGGGTTTTTTCCACCTAAACAATGTTTGCCTTGAGAGCCGTGACCAATCTTTTTTTTTTATTATTAACTTTGCTACCAGAGACACAAACTAGGGTTGCTCCTCAACATGGACTGCCATTTCTGCATCACTGATCTTTTTTATTTTATTTTCCATTTTACCCTCCCTCGGTTTCTCTCTCTCCATCTCTCTTCCACGTTTAAACTTTTAAACAGGCTTATGCAAGAGAACCTCTGGGAACAGCACACAGCGTTCTCTGTAGCTTTTGCGTCTGGCTATTTGGCTTCTCATTCTCTTTGATGAAGAAGCCTTGATTCAGAGATCTTCTAGTTTCACATCTGTCCCCTTTAGAAAGTTGTTGAATTATAAAGGTGGGAGGGTGGTCTAGAGGGGTCAGAGACCCCCTAGTTCTGGCCTGACCAGTTGACAAGTGCCCAAATACCTTCTAAAATCAGGCAACAGAAAAGAGAAGACCAGCAAACAACTCTAGGCTTGCATGTTTATATCTTGTATAGATATATACCAATTACATATCAACATACATTCATAATTTAACAGCTTCAATGTTTAGCGTGTGCGAAAGTTCTATACCTCTTTGAGGGTTCGACATTTCTTTCAATAACATTAGGCAGTTTTGATTTAAATGCTGTTAAATGTTTGATGATAGCTTCTACCGCTTTTTTCCTGATCTGAAGATTCTGTAGAAGATGCGCAATAGTGCCCCTTACCGTAAAACAGTGTAAACATGGATTGCCAGAAAATTCCTTCAATGGTGGTGAAAGAGTTAAATAGTTATGAGGAGCTTAAAAAGAATGATTTAATAATATGTTCTAAGTGTATCTTTCAATTTTAACACTTGTTACTATTTCTCTTTCAGGCTTATACTGTACAAAACCAATACGGCATTCCACACTCAGAGGTAAGAAGCTTTAGAGAGAATTTCTGAAAACCATCTTCATACTGCATAACTTCCATTAGTTGAGTGTTCTTTTTGTGAAGTAAATGAGCTTGTTTTACAATTGTGAATGAACAATACAGTATGGTTCAATTCTCAGCTGTGTCTACTGATAATAAAACCCTTTCATACAATTGAAATGACATTTCCCTCCCATTTTTCTTTCTCTTTGTTTCTCAGTTGGCCAAGTTGCACCAATTGTCCATGCAGCATGGTCTTGCCCCCATAGCTCAACCAACGGCCACCCCAGTTCTGTCTGGTATGTTTTGCCAATCCGAGTCTCTTTGAAGAGGAAGATAATGGTTGGGATGGAGGCAGATCACACAAATTATGGGTTAGACAGTGGCATAGACTGTAATCAGCTTGTTGCCACCTTGGTCACACAAGCAGGATTCCCCTTTTAAATTGTTCACTGGAATATGGTGTAGAGGTGATCTGGTTATGTTTTCAAAGGCCAGGAACAGTGTAAATGCAAAAGGTAGGTTCTTTTTCCATTTGGTTAACTTTTACTCTACTTCTAATCGGTCTAAACTTCTTATAGAGAGAACTCTAGTGCAAAAACACCTTATATTTACCCAGAAGCACAAGTCTGCTTTAGCAGCGCTAAATCTCCTCGTACAGTGAGCGTGGATGTGACACAATTCCACCTGAGAACTCAAGCTTAAGTACATGGAATCAAACAGACCTCCCAAAGACCCAGAGGCCACCCAAGTTCAAGGTAATACACCTGAGCTCCATGGAGCATACTGCACATGCAGATTACAGCTGCAAAAATGGGGCCAAGCTTTACAAGGCTCCACAGTCAGCTCCTGGGGCTTCTCAGAGGCATGACAAATGTCCAGCTAAAGAAAAAGGAGGGACTGTCTTCTTTTCTTGCTCCTTCACTTTTTTTTCCATTGCACAGAACCAGACATCCAATTATACAGCCACCCCAAGATATTCAGCGATGTCTTTCCAGTTGTATGGAGTTTCCCAACATTTGCCAAAGGTTTTGTTGTGTAGGCCCTCTAAAGCCAACAGACTGTTGAATATTACGTAAATAAGCACTTTTGGAGCAAATGTGAGAATCAAAAAGCCCCTTCAAGGAATTGAGTGGTCGAAACAAATGTAATAGTTGCCCCCTGCCGCTAAAACTACAAGAGCACATCCTATCATGATATGGCTGGGGAATTCGATTATGTCTGAGGTAAAAAGCTCATCAGTCAAGGCAATGTTTCAGTCTATTAAATAGGCCCCTGTTGGGTTGGGAGGCACTGCTGGGTCTGGGCCTCCTGCTGAGACAGGAAGTAGATGGAAAGAGAAACAGGCTCGCTCTGTGCCCATCCCTGTTGAAAAAAAAAAACAGCATATTCTGGTTAGGTATGTTTTGAAGCATGGCTGCTGGGTTGAGATGGGCCTTAGCTGGTTTAAGCTGGTCATGTGCTGGTCCTAAGCAACTAGTTCCTGCTCAGGACCAGCACATTACCAGCTCATGACCAGCTGAGGACCAGCTTGACTGTTTGGAATCATGACAGTAAAATAGGGCATTCTAAGTCCATCTACTGCATTATTTCCTCTCGCAATCAGTAGAAAATGTGGTTAACACCTGGTCATGCATGAACAAAATAAATACCATCATATACCATGAAACTGGTATAATTTTGAAAAATACTGTGATATAAATTTTTGGTCTTACTGCCCAGCACTAATTTAATCTCTACCGAGCATTAGTGGCATAATGTTGATTCACAGGCCTAGGTTTTGGTTTTGGCTTATGAACAAGCTAAGAGGCTCTTTTATGGTAAACCAATTTAAAAGGGTTATACATTTAGTAGTTTGTGAGGTAACCTAGTCTAAGTGGTTGATCAGTTGGACTAGTGACTATCGGGATATGAGGGTTAAGGGTATCCTGGTTAACCACCCTGACTAAGCTAATGGGGACTTAGTTGAGCTGGTTAACCTTGTTCTGAAACAGCTTGACCACTGTAGGCTGGTATAACCTGTTTTTTTTTATTTCCAGGATGCAAGGATAAAGAACCTTTATGATTTACACACAATATATAATTTTAAAAACAATTCCAGGTCGTCCCTCCCTAAACTCATGCCATTAGTTGAGCTACTGTTGCTATGTTGATCCAATTAAACAGATTGCGATTTGGTTTGATGCTGCTGATTTGGTACAGTCCTTGCGTTTTAAATAGTCTGAATGAGTTAAAAATTGGTTTTGGGCTGTAACTTCATCGTATCAGTGAATTAACCTGAACTGTTTCACTGTCCTGCTGAGTTTAACTCCTACCCAAATTAAACACACTTGAACCAGCTAGTCAAGTCCTTTAGGTTGTTATTTACAATGAACATACAAAAGAGTAAAGGGAGAAAGAAAATGCGCTGTGCATGATGGTTGAAAATAACACATCCTAAGATTACTCTTATCCACATTAGTTCAGAGGAGCTTCTGTCAAATTTAGAAGAAGAACAAATGCTGAACAAAAAGAAAGGGAAAGAAAGAAGAAAGCAAGCAGTGAATTCTACTATCGTTTGTTAACTTGGTACCTATTCCTCTTCCAGCAGGTATCGAGTCCAGTTCCCAGACAGCATCACAAGAACTTCTCATTCCAAATGACGTAAGTGCAAAAATGTATTTTTGCAAGTATCACATTACTCATGCTAATCATTGATATTCTGTACAACAGCACTTTTGCTTTAGTAATAATGCTTAATTATGTTTATGTTGTGTGTGAAGACATTATTAAATCTTTTGAGGACAGTCAGATCTTTGTTTTAGACTTAAGTTAAGTGCTTTCTGTAGAAAGCCTTTTTTTTTTTTTAAAGAGCACCTCTCATGACACACTTTGGCCATACAGAAATCCTGAAACTTTTCTTTCAAACACACCGACTTGTGTCTTTTTATCTGTCCACCCCCTGCTCTGCTAGAAGAGCTTCACAAGATCCAGTTCAATCCTGTCATGGTGTCTGACATGCTTAGCACTCCTCTGCTGTCAAAACAGAGACGGTAAATAAAGCCAGAGCCCTTTGTCAGAGCTCTAGGTTGTGGTGCAGACCCCGCACCCCGGGGGCCAACTGGACGTTCCCTTCATGCCTTCTGACTGGTGCTCCCTCTCGCCTCCACGTCTCCCTGAGATCACAGGATTAATCGACTGGCCAAGGGCCCAGTCGTGGAATTTCTGACCATACTCAATACATGCATTCAGCTCCCATTGTTTTGTTATTTTAAGCCCTCATGCCCAACTAGTAATAATCTACAATTAAGGCAGCAATTTTTAGTAAAACGGTGCTGTTCACATAAGTTTGTGTATTGTCTGACTTTTCCCATTATCTCACTCTCACACCAGTTAAACAGTTTATATTCTAAAAAGTCATTGTAATGTTCTTTATCAAACTGTTTTTGAAAACAATTGCATGTCCTATGTGAACTACTACTTATTCATTTAGTGTTGTCAGTAAATGTAGTTAGTGATCGTTTCAACAATTATTCTTAGAATATGCCAAGTGCTCTTATACAAATGAGTGTGAAGCTTACATAGTGCTTACATCAGCATTTTTGATTTCTTGCGCAGCTGTAATGACTGAGTGGATGCATTATCTAGAGTGATTCCGTACAAGCAAATTCATTGACTACCTTGATGCACATGAACAAGAACCCAGCTCTTATCACATTGACACCAGCTTCAAATAAATCTTGACTTCCTGAATGCATTCATTAGGTGCTAGACCTCATTTCTAAACCTCAACGTACATGGTAAACTTCAAAGAAACTTCACCAATTTCTCCAATCAAGGGCTAATTTAGCATGCTTGTACATTCATATTCCTGCGTAAAGCCATAAACAAGGCAATGGAAAGCATGAATTATTTAAATTCCCTCACAGCGATGCAATTCCAAGGCAAGGCGACATCAAACGCTTGGCAGACTAAGTTGTTTATCATTCGCAATCAGGTTTCGCTCTATAGAGGAGCAGTTTCTCCATGGTGAACCATTCCTCTAAATCGGTAGAAACACGTCGCAATTAGATTGGGATCAGATCAGTGCTCTAGAGCGCAGTAGTGGATGCAGAGACTGCCCTGTGAGAGGTGGACGCGACCATCAGCGATACCAGTTTTAGTTGGCAGGAAATGTGTTCGTGCTCCCCATACTTTCAAAACTACGACCTAAGAAGTAGATTCACCTAAAATAGACCTGTCTTCAGCTTGACTAGGGTATACATACCTGTCTCTCGCTTCGGACAGATTTGACCCCAATCATGCACCTTGATTTCAATGGATACAAAGAAATCAATAAAACATAAGTATTTGTTTGGAACTGGTAAATTTGACAGTTGGAGTTTCATACTTTGTTTCATTGATATGTTGCTGGAGGATGGATAATTCAAAGAGTTCAAAAAATGTAGGATATCAGTGGGCAAATATGTGGTGCAGTGCAGAGGACATGCTAGAATCCTCTACGTCAGGGTGGCAGTGAGACCTGGCGGTCGACTATAAGCACTTAGCCACAATCAGCTGAGCCATTAATAGCCCCTGGGCACCAGGGAGAGCGGTGTGACGAATCAGGAGCTTTGACGTTCATATGACTCGTGAGGAAAGGAATGCTTTGTGGAGCAATTCTTGCTCCCATAATCCAACTCACACTCAAAGTGAGGGTTGGGGGCTGGGATGCAGGGTGGACAAAATACAAGCTGTCAGTCATTTGAATGACAAACCGTTAACTCATCCCAGTTGGGGTCACTCCACTTTATCATTGTCTGAGCTTGACACCAAGCCTTGAGGTCACCCAACCCCCTTGGTCCACTTCCTTGTGGACACCTTCCACAGAAGGTACAGTAATCTGGATTCATACAGTAGGTTTTGGCTGTGTTGGATTGCCTCAAATATTTAAAAAAAAAACTTGATGCTGCCACAGTAGGATGAATTGGTTCACCACCTGCTGTTGGTTTAAACTGACCTTCTGGATCTGCAGAACTATTAGCAGATGCTTGTTACAGAGACAATGCCAATGCACAGACACAGTCATCTTAGGCCCAGATGAACAAACACAACAAACCAGCACCTCAAAGTCAACCATGATGACATGCACACAAAGAGAGATTGAAGTGTTTGTCAAGGAACGCATTAGATACAGGCATGAGTGTGCAAATACTGTCCCTGAAATCAATAGTCACTTGGGCAGTAGGACCCAGGTTTTATGAATTTCTGGATTGCAGTTGACCAAGCTCCAGGGAAATGATCCTGATGTGGAATCTGAGCGACACAATTTTAGTTTTCTTTAAACTGGCTTGGCTCTCATAATGCTTATTTTGCAATATGCACCATGACCATTGGTGTCCCATCATGTTCCCTGAGGACCACTGTCCTGCTGAGTTTAACTCCTACCCAAATTAAACACACTTGAACCAGCTAGTCAAGGTCTTCAGGATTTCTAGAAACCTCCAGGCAGGTGTAAGGAAGTGTATGGACTTTGGCCCTCCAGAGGCTGGATTAGACACCCCTGTCTTAGAGGGAAATAGTGCCAATGAATAGCTGTTTATATATAATATTTATTAAACTGATTGGTCTTTTATTTCCCCACAGCTGATTGGTTCAATAATTGGCAGACAGGGTACAAAAATCAACGAGATCCGCCAGGTGTCAGGGGCTCAGATCAAGATCGGCAGTCAACTGGACAGCACTAGTGACCGACACGTCACCATCACGGGCTCCCCAATCAGCATCAACTTGGCCCAGTATCTAATCACATCCTGGTAAGCACTGGAAGCCATTCCATCATAACAGAACTAGGGTGTTTGAACTTGACCACTCCATGTGTTTATGTGGCATCATTTACACCATAATGTTGTAGAGCACCCTGAAGTAGGAGACCCTGACAAAACCTCTGGAATTTGCAATCAGGGGTCTTTCCAGTCCATAGTTTGCTGGCCAAAAGAAGCAGTCTTGAGCAAAAGCACTGCACAACTACAAAGCAAGGAGATGTGGTAGGAAGAAGCCAGGCTGAGGAATTAATTGGGCAAGTTTCAAGCCAGAAGCTTGTTAAAGCTTAAAGGCAGAGTATTTTGGCTGCCTCATAGACAGACTGTAATTTTTTCCCACGAGATCTATGTGGTTGCAATTTGATCAAATGTTGTGTCAGGCAAGAAAGCAGTAAATTCCTGACAGCTCAGTTCATCAGCGAAGACTTCTCCATCAATGCTGGGGCACAATTTCATTTGCTAATGTAACAAAATTAATAGTTCTGTTCTTTACCCAGGCTTATAAAAATTCTTCTAAATGAGTGAATGAGTGAGAGAATGAGTAAATTCATTCTCCAAATGAGTGGCTTCTTTATTTATTCCCACATTTCTGTGCTGGCTAGAAAAGAAATTAAGATTTCTATCAGATGCAGTGTCGTGTGAAAAATAATATATTAATTCTTCTAGCATATTATGACTCAGCAGGTTGACAAGAGAGCAATAATTGGGTCCTGAATGAAATATTTATGCTTGTCTCAGGTGTGTTCAACAAGCAGACCGGTGCAGAATGTCAAACTCACTCTGAGAAGCCCCTCATTATTTTATTTGAAATATGTTACTGAGGCATCCTGCATGGAAAAATTACTATGTTGGTTTTGGGAAAGCTTTTGTTGTTTTGTTCCTGTCTTAATATTATTGATTTTAGTGGTTTCCCATCAGTTGAATTCATGTCAGTTTGGTTTTGGACACGTGACGGCAACACACGCCGATCCCAGAGCAACCGAAGGCACTCTAGCGTCAGAATACTTCCTTAATGAGTCAGCTCCATCAAGCCATTAAAAATCAAACATGATTATTCATGTCCTGGATGAAGTCTGGAGACGTCACCCCCAATCATTGTCACTCTCGAAGAATACTTCCTCCGAGACAGATGTCTCGTTTCAATGCATTGCATCAGAGCGTTCTGCATATTGAACACACCCCATACTTGATAATGTCCTGAGAAATCAGTTATGCGCCCTCGATATATACGTTAATGGCAGAGCACATTTGATTACATGCATTTGTCAACATGTTACTCTGTGCAAATGCATATTTTTGACGACTTGATAAGAGATAAAGGAAATGCTACTGAAATTGAAATCATTTTGTTTCTTTTCCCAAAGCCCCTACCCAAGCCATCACCCTGAATTAAACAGCTCCTTTCCCATGAGTGCCAAGGTCCCCCCTCAAATAATCTGTTGCAACCACCAGCAAAACACACCTCTCTTATGATTTTTTGTTTCTGTTTTTGATTCTTTTTTTATTTCTCTCAATTTTTGTTTAACATGTCTTTTATTTAACCTTCTAACCCTTCTCCATCCGGCTCCCCTCCCTTGTCCTTCCACCCTCCTCTCCTCCACCTCCTTCCTTCCCACCCTCATACAGTTTAGAGACCGCCAAATCCACTGCCCAGTCCTCCTCCATGTCGACCCCTGTAGACCTCAACATGAGCTTCACCCAGACTGCTCCCCATGCATCGTCCTCTGCCGCAGCCCTGGCAGCGATGGGCGGCCTGCCCCATGCTCCAATCTTGGGCGCCCCCTATACCCTCCCCCTCTCCAGCCTCCTGGGAATCAAATCCGTCCCCTTCCTGACACTCTCGGCCCCTGCTGCCACAGCTGCTGCCGCCGCTGCCCCCACCCACGGCACCTTGGCCTCCTACACCGCCAAGATCTCCTCCGCCAACGGCATTAAGAAACCAGAGCGACAGAAGTTTGCGCCCTACTGAAGAGGAACTACTGAGTACCTCCTTTGTTTCCGAGAGAGGAATACTTTGAGGGTTCTTCTCTTCTAGCCTGATGTAGCGGTGTAGAAACAGACAGTACCAACTTATTTTCTTTTTGGTTTAGTAGCTTGTCCTGAAATAACTGTAGGAAAATAATGGCATAAATTTTAATTATTACTTTTTTTTGGCTGAGGTAGCCGCTAAAGCCATAGACTATTCCTAATCTCCTTTTCCCCCCGAAATCTTTACACACGTTTATTGTCTGCTCTTATTTATTGATAATAACGAAATATTCCCGCAAAGAGTTTATAACGTAGAACACTGTTGACTGATGCTAATCTCTTATGTATCAGCTTTTATACAATGATGTCTGTGAATGCTTCTGTATACAACTTCCTGATTTTTTTAGACACACGTTTATTGTCTGCTCTTATTTATTGATAATAACGAAATATTCCCGCAAAGAGTTTATAACGTAGAACACTGTTGACTGATGCTAATCTCTTATGTATCAGCTTTTATACAATGATGTCTGTGAATGCTTCTGTATACAACTTCCTGATTTTTTTAGAAATCTTTAAATGATGTATTAAAACAAATATGAAAAAAAAGGAAATGTTTTTAAAAATGACAACAGATCTAAACCTTGCTTTTGTGTTACATTTTTACGTTTTGTTCGCATTCGTTCTGAAATGTTATTTATTTTATTTATTGTGCGGAGTGTTTCTTCTACAGTCAATGTTTGTTTTCTGTAACGGCTGCAGGTTAAAAAAAATCTTTTCAAATTTCTTCCATTGATCATGGTTGCATACGTCCTGAAAAAGACACACGTCTAAGTAACCACGAACAAAATAGTTGTTTAAGAAGTTTCTTTACTTTCTATGGGAAGTGTATGGTGCCACGTTGAATTCTGGTGTGATTAAATATCCAAATACGAAACAGCTAGCAAATTAATTTCAAAACTTTGGCTAGCCATGGCAGTATATGGACAATATAATTTCAGGGGGTTTCTTTCACCATTTCTAATGGCATAAAATGACTACTATGCATGGTGACTGCCCTTGTCGGAAACTAATGCTGCATGTTGACTTGGCCCCTCACACTAGCGAAGATAGCTAACGCGTAGGTCTCTGTCGATGGCGTTAAAAATAGGCAGTGTTGCAGAAGAGCGATATTGGTTTGAAAATACTAAAATATACACATATAGCAGACGTACACGTAAACATGCTTCAAGTGTAGCTACAGTAATCATTATGCTCGATCACAGAGTATATTACGTGGACTGACTTTTTGTTTTTGTTTTTTTCTTTAAAAAAAAAAAAAAATAGAAATAATCACACTTATTTTTCTAAACCTAAAGTCCTAAAAATTTAATGTGACCACTCACACGATTCATTCACTTGGTAGATGTAGTGTAACTTTGACTCGTGTTTGTCATTTGTTTTCTTTAGCGTAATTTTTTGTTTTGTTTAGATCTTCTCAAACGTCTTTCCCACACTCATTTGCATGAATTTAACTTGGCGTCTATGCAAAACATCTCGGGGGCGGTTCAGCGAGGTATCCTATGTCATGCTTCATAGATGGCCCTAAATAAACCACCGTTGGGAAAGGGCTATCGGCAAAGACGGAACCCAAGTCAAGGACAATGATGCTCTCAAATTTATGAACCATGCTATGTATAATATATATACATAAATATATATGTTCTATTATATCCATATTTCCCATTCCAAAGCCTAACACATAACCACCGTTTCACACACTATACGACACAGTGTGACTATGATAAACACTGTCACACTTCACCGTGATAATTCCACGATAGCCGGACATGGTTCGAAAACTGTTCAGATGCTTGAATTATCGAGGTCTGGTTTTTGGATTCACATGAGGTTTCGTTTGTCAGCCTTGGCATAAATGCAACTCTTGTTTTAGTTTTATTCATCAATGCCATACAAATGAATAAAAACAATACTGTATTAACGTAATCCAGTCTCTTTTGTTCTTTCTCAGCTGCGTGAAATGAAACAGCATTAACATTATTAGCTGAGTGTGAATGCTGTGACAATGATTAACAATTCAGTTTTGTTTGTTTTTTTTTAATAGGAAGTTTAGACCTGTAAAAGTGTTTGAACTTAACACCTCAAATAAACAAGCAATTAAAACTTAGCCCTAAGGTACAATGTGTGTTTTATTAAAGCAATAATCCACTCAAGGCCATTATATTGCAGCGATTTTATCATGGGTAAGGGGTGTTGATAAGGTTAGGCATGACACAAAGTCCCTTAACTATGGTAAAATCAGTGTGCTTTATGACCTCCAGTGCGATGTTGCTTGCATAAAATGGCACCAACAGTAATATAAGACAAGCAATATTCATTTTCTTTACAGTAATTTTCTTCAAAATCAAATTTGTGAGTTGAAGCTTGCCAAATTTTGATTCAAAGCAAAAAAATACTGACATAATTGAATCAGACTTTAGACACAGAGATATGAAACTTATAAGCAATACGTAATAAGCAATAAGTATAAAACTAGCCTATATAAGTTTAAGGTCAACATGAAATAGAAATTCACCCTGTCTATTTTCAAGATGCATCTTATATATACTTTTGCATTTGCAATTTTTTTATCAAAATGTTATAACTTGATCTTCCAGTGAAACGGCAGACTTCTCTCTGGTGACATATGTTGGACTTCTCCAATTACTTTGTCCACTTAAACTCTGCCCCTTTATTAAAATTGACCGCAAGCTCGCATTTACATCCTATTCAGATTGCATTTTCCCCTTTCTGACAATTTATTAAACTTACATCACAATATGTTTATGTATGTCACATTTGTCACTTCTGTTACATAGCAACTTCTACAAAAAAAAACAAAAAAAAGTAGTAGTTCGAGACTGACTCGATTACATAATCTGGAATGTGTGATGAAATTGTACAGTCACTACTGAACTCTTTTGATGCAACTTCTGTTTCTGAAGAAAGTAAACATTTTTTGGCATGTTTAAAGGGACAGTTCACCCATAAATGCCAATTTTGTCACTATTTACTCCGCCTAATGTTGTTCCAAACATGTAAGAATTTATTTCTTCTGTTAAACACAATATATTTTAAAGAATGCTGGTAAACAAACAGTTTCTGGTAGCCTTCGACTTCCACAGTATGTTTTCCATATTAAGGAAGTCGATGGCTACCAGCAGATTTTTGGTTACCAACATTCTTCAAAATATATTTTCAGTGTTCAACAGAACAAAGAACTCTCCCTTTAATAGCCATTGAAATGCTTCACCAGACCCATATACCATCACTAATCTCTTGCTACATCTGTCATGAAAGGTTAATATGCTTACGTTAAAAATGGAATCTTCGAATCAGCTTTTCTCTGCATTCATTATGCAGTCTTAATACCAACACACAGTTATTAGACGATGTGCCTGTTCTGTCAACATCGACGTTACGTTTTTACAAGGTTAGCATCCTCTCAAAAGCTAATTAAAAAGCCATCGCGCAGTGGGATTTTAAAATAAGCAGTCAAAAATAAGACATCCCACTTTTGTTTGAACAAGTCTCTGTTGTGTCACTCAGTGCAGACGGTGTATTTTCATTTCTGAGGAAAAGACCCTTGAGACTAGTACAGCTGAATCTCAATAGCGATAGCCAAAATTCATGTGTATAATAAACAAACTCCGCTATAATAACATGCTGACACATCAGCCGCCCTTTCTATCTTACTAACCTGGGCCGAGAGTGCCGCCCATGGCGCTTTGCCATCACGCCACCAAATGCAACGACGCCAGAGATGAAAGCAGTCTATGAATAAAGCTTACACCTCGCAGCAGCTGCTCAAACACAAACAAATTCTTACAGGCGGGGTTTTCAGTCCCGAACGGGTGGGGGTGTGTGTAATGACAGCCTAAACACTGTCTACATCTCTCACAAAGGAGCTCGCCGATGCCCACACGCGACAATCCGTGACATCTTGCGCAAAAAAAAAAACCCAAGTTTGGTGTCCTCTATTGATGTGGACTGTCCACGGCCTGAGACGGATACTTTACAAGAGTAATTATGCAACGATAACCTCCTACACCCAGCGAGTGGAATAATAATTGCAATTTACCAACAATTAAAGACAATCCGGAGACAAAGCAGTTGGAAACGGAAGCTGGTAATTATATGGTGATGGCCAGTTGGCTGTGGTGGGAGCTGAACACCAGTGGGCTTGGCATGCGAATAAAAGCACATGCTCTGTGCCATGTGCTTGGGGTAAAAAAAACATCAAACTGGAATTGAATTCAGAGGAAAGTGAAATTCATCTCACTCCATTAAACAGAAACTAGAGTGTATTTTTAGCCTATAGCTATTCAGAATTATTTAGGGCCACTGTGACCTTCCCCAGAGGCAATGCGAAAGCCTGTAAAATATTTTGAACGTAATAAGAAAGATGGAGAAAGAGAAAATTGCAAGTTCATCTCTTATTAGCAGGCCAAACAAAACATCCAGTTTCCATCACGATAAACGTCTTGAGATGATAGATTATTTTCCCTGTACACCTTGGCCTGGATTTGCCCTTGGCAGTGTTGTTATAGTATTAATAATCAGTGTTGGGCAAGTTACTTCCAAAATGTAATACATTATATATTACTAGTTACTGTTATTAGTAATGCGTTATATTACTGCGTTACAGCAAAACGTAATATACTACTGTAATATTATTACTTTTGTAATGTGTTACTCCCAACACTGTTAATAATATAGTATTTAGAATTAGGTTTTATTTTTATATTTGCAGTTTTCATTTTACTTTTAGCTTATGTTTTATTTTAAGTTTTATGTGCTTTTGTGTGTGTGTGTGTGTGTGCATCAATATATTTATTTTATTTTTAATTTTAGTAGCTTAAAGGGGTGGTTGATTGCGATTTCACTTTTTTAATGTTAGTTAGTGTGTAATGTTGCTGTTTGAGCATAAAGGTGCACGTAAAAATCTATTTATATATGAATCGCGATTCTGTCTTCTAACGATTCTAATGGATTCACAGGTTTCAAAATCAATGTTCTCAAGCAGCGGTTCTTAATACTGTTCTTCACGTCCCCCTGCTCTGCACACGCTCTGCACCTCTCTCGCTCTCTCATTCAGCTCAGCTCCAACAATGAACTGTTCCAATTATACACTTATTTTCACATAGCTATGAGAAGCGTTAAACATGGGCGCGTGCAGTTGCCGTAATGTATTAAAGCTTTAATCAGAATAAAACCGTATATTAAAAGCTAACATAAGCAGTAGCATTTACAAATAACAGCATATCTAAAAGTATGAGACAACAACAAACAAAAAACATAGGCCTACCATTAAAAGCCGTGCTTGCACAGGTTCTGCACGATCCTCTTCAAT